TTGATAACAGTTGTAACCTGTGTTAGACTCTAAATGAAAATTCATAGTAAGCTTTCCCACTATCATTGTCTTACTGACTGCTTGGTTGAAAATCCTTGTTTGAAGGATATTTTAAAATATAAATAAAACCTGATTAAATAGCATCATTAATTAGCAAAGCTATGAAACTGAGGTGTGCATAGTGTAGGACTGGTAAACCACAGTCTCTGCATTCCTGTAATTTATGTAAGAAATCATTTACAAAAGATAATCAGCAGCAAGGTATGTTACATAGTTAATTATATTTCAATGAAATTTTTTTTTCTGGAGATACCTGAGAGTGCTGAATCCTGACAGGAATTTTTTATGTAGTACGCAATTGCAGCATTTCAAACAGTTTATGTTCATGCAGACATAAAGGAATAGTTTTCAAGGTCACCTATTGGTCAGATCATGTCATCAGCTGTGTTGTCTCTCATCATTGCATAGAGGTCAGCGTAGTCTAAAACAAAACAAGGCGTGATTTTCATTCACTTGTGTCTCTTGCTACTTCTATTTTCATGTACAAAGCATATAGCTTTAACGCTTTGGGACCAGCTGGGTGATGGAACTCCTCAGCATCATCAGAAGAGTGTGGAGCTCTTCTACCAGCTGCACAACCTCGTTCCATCTTCTAGCATTTGCGAAGATGTTATTAGTCAGCAGCTGACTCACAGAGACAAGGCAAGTTGTTCATAAATTTAGGAAAAGATGAATTAAGAATGTAACTATAGAAATGTAATTGGAAAGGAATTTGGTGCCTCTGAGGAGGCAAGATGGTGAAAATGTTGCTTTGCACGGATTGTTTCAAACATTAAATATACTCTTGTCTTTCACTTGCATGCAGAATGCCAGATTTGTCCACCCTTTGAACTGCCACCCTCTTTCCTATATTGTCGCTAACGAGAAACCTTAACTTTTACATCTGCAGTAGTTGAGCCCTATTTTCATGGTCTTGCTGTTTCACAAACCTCTGAAAAGTGTTTGCAATGGTAGTAACTGAATATAGACTTTCTAGGTTCCATTCTAGTTGTCCTGACCACAGCAGCCAGGTTATTGTCATCATCATGTCTCGGTTGCCTTTCCTGAGAGTGGATCTGGTTTGCTTCTTTCTTAAGAGAGTCACGTGTGGACCCTGTTGTCTTTCTATTCTTTCTCTTTCCTTTCACTCAGCTGAGATGTCCTTACTGCCTTTCTCGTCGTGTCACCACCTTCTTTTTACAGTTTGAGATCTGTGTGGTTTGGGGGTTTTTTTGAGATCTGTTTTCAATTCCTCTCCCTTCCTGTGAGGCACATCCTTATGAGTCTGCTGCATTTTTATTAATATTTTTAACATTATTTTATATAT